AATTCCGAAATTACCCGAGCATTTCGGGTATATTATAAATATTTTACTGAATATCCATTTACTATTCACATAGTGATTAACGAAACTTTGGATTATTCAAATCCAGTTGTTCAGAAGTCATTAGACCAGATGATTGAGAAGTTTCAGTCTCATCCAAACGTGGCAGATATGGATATTTCTTGGTTGAAGTATTACAAAGATTTTCAACAGCATTCAGCAGCGAAATATTCTTTTATGGGATACGATTTATCCACTAAACAAGATTTCATCGATGCTTTACGGCAGGTGTTCCTGAAATTTCCAGGAGCCAAACATTACCAGAATGATATCGTATTTAATCATAATTATACCGATATTATTTGCAGTCGTTTTTTTCTTTTAGCAAGAAAAGTCTCGGATAGAACCACGGAGTCGAAAGTAATCAAAGATATACAAAAAATGGCGGAGGAATTTCCTTTCTCCGTTCTTATTCACACCATGATATCGCCATTCGTCGAGCAAAGTATCGTTATTAGAAAAGTCATTTTTCAATTTTTTTGGATGACCTCGTTAATAAATCTTGTGATTTTTGTTTGCTTTAATCCAAATATTGTGTATTCGGTTGTCGTAGCTCTGTGTATTTCGTCTATTACGATACAAACCCTGGGTTATATGTCGTTGTGGGATGTCGACTTGGACATCGCCTCTATGTCTTACTTTGTAATCTGTATGGGTTTTTGTGTTAATTACCCTACTCATATATGTTATTCTTTTCTCATTTCGTCAGATAAAACCATAAAAGGTAAATTGCAGCATAGTTTATATAATGTGGGTTTTCCGATATTTCAGGGCGCATTCTCAACCGGAATAGGTGTGTTGATTGTTTTACACAAAACTGTGTTTCTGAGTAGAGTATTCGTTAAAATAATTGTTATAATTGTGGCACTAACTACGTTTCATGCTATACTCTTAATGCCTTTCGTATTTTCTATCATTTGGTGTTGCATTAATATAAACAAAGCAAGAAAAAAAGCATATATTTTATAACATGGAATGTAGGGTTTGAGCATGACCAAATAAACACATTAACTGGTTTATATAAACGAATTTACTTTTAACAGAATGATTTTGTTCTTTTTCAAAATGACAACAAATTGAAACAAGAAACATGTATTCATATAATCACCAGTTGTATAGTATATTTTAGTTTTTTATATCAACTGATTATAGTTGAATACAGAGCAAGATTGTCAAAACATAGAGAAAGATTGCTTAATAAAGCTTTTTTGTTTATTATGGTATTGTTCTATGCTTTGTTATATCTATTAAACTGCCTTACATAGTGAGGTCGAAAACTATTCCAGATTTGAACTCCTTGTTGGGGTAGAATCGTGTAAGGACACGGTTCTACCCCAATAGGCCTTTATATTTTTAAACTAGTAACGATCACCATCGCTAAAAAAATAGTTAAGGAAGAGACCGTCGGATATTGAATGCGTGGCCGCTGATTGGTCGGCATACCATCACATCACCACCGGACCTCCGACAGATATGTAGAGTGTGTGCAAAATATGTTACAGTGGTGTGATCCTCAACCAGCACTAGTTGGTTGAGGATCACACCACTGTACACAGTGCTCAGCTGCTGAGCACCGGTAACCGTTGATTGGGCGGCAGGGAATCACGCCACACGTTATTTGCATAGTGCTACAGATCGGTAAGCACTTATTGGTCGTCCAACCCGATATCGATGGCTATAAAAGGATTAATGTCGAAGCGTGAAATTTAAGTTTACTTCCCCACGGGAACTTCGGGAAATCCGTATGTCCAGCGGGGTCATCGGGCCAGGCGAGGATGGCTATTGTTACCGCAGGGTCATCACCTCTTTGGCACCTTGTCAGGATGTCACCACTGTGTCTTGCGGACAGACACGGAAAACGAATTGGCCGTTTATCTCGTTATTTTGAATGGTCGCGTGTGCGGACTTTCGGATCCGGAATGGAAGCGGAAGGAGAGAGCCAAAGGAAATACACTCCACAAGTTTTTAATTAATAATAATACCCGTTTATTATTCGTTATTGACTATTTACAAGCTGTATATTATACATGTTTAGCTAATGCTAATCAGAAACTGACATATTGCGTAACTACTACGATCCTAACAACGAGAGAAAGAGTTCACATTAAGTTCGCGCGAGGATAAATACCTTTAGAAATTGTAGAATGATGTTCAATGTTTTCACACTATTTGGAGTGGCAACGAGTCCTTCGAAATTGCGACAAGTTTCTCGGAGTGGCGGCGATTAGGAACAGTTAGGACGGCGACGAATAGCAAGCGGCGGCCAACACACGACAGGTCAAAGATAACTCGAAGAATCTCCCCGACTCATCGACCCTTCCCCCTTATATTAGGGAGTCTGCCCTGAATTTTTTCCATGGCCTTATTAGGAATTTTTTCTAACCCCGTCTAATAGTTAATTTTTTTGTTGGAGATTCCGGGTGACATACTCGGATGACCATCTTCAACTAGGAAATAAGTCCGTTTTTTGTTTTGTCTCTTTAATCTTTTCTCTGAACAAAAATTTATATATTTGAACAAAATAATTTCACTAAGTTCGGCTCTCACCATTTTTTGCGATAGGTTGTTACTTGCTTAGCACTTGGCTGGGGGACTTGTCTTCCACCCGATAGGGATGCTGTACTGTACAAGAGTAGAATGTACTGGATGCCAAATCGGTGCTACCGATTGAAGCGTTCAATAAACTTTATTGACGATCGGAACTTCAGAATGTACAGTACATCAGTTTCGTATAAGTTAGGTTTGGAACTTAAAGTGTGCCTCAAAGTTCGAGTCAAGTCAGGATTCTCTCGCTGTCTGTTCATCAACCGCTGGAAGAAGGATACTTCTAGCCAACAACTCGTCGATTCGTCGTTTGCTGTCTTCTCGACGAACCAATTCAGCATATTAAACTATCTGGCCTTTGTTAATGTAATTTGCGCACCGAGTTGATCGCCAATTGTGTGACAAACGAACATTTTAAACTTCACTCTCTATAACTAGATTTGATAAAAAGACTTAATCTTTGATTTATAAAGTAAAAATTCAAATCAACCAACCACTATTAGTACGTCCGAATTGGCCGAATGGCCGATCTGTCAAGGTGGCAACCTACCACTCTGGGGGACCTGGGATAGGATCCGGACGGGGATCAAGGAAACTCCAGGAACTTTTCGGGAGTAGTCCGTTCAGATATGTCGGGCTCCGTTTCTCACCACCCGATCGCCCCATTGTGGGCCTGGCCGAACCCATAACGGGCCTGCTATAAGAGGCCTCTTAGTGCCCACAGGGCACAAAAGTAAATAAAAAGAAAGTTCGTCTGAATTTTTAATTAATAGAGAGATTGAGGTGCAAGTTCAAACGTTACTTTTACACGGCAAGCAGAAGTACACGGTTTACGTTCTCCAAGAAAAAATCGATGCGGCAGACGTTCACAACATCAAGTGACTCAGTGAACGTCGCGAGACTCACAGGAAATTTGTTGAAAATATGGCGGATAAGTGTAACATCGAGGTTTACCAGCGAAGGTAAATAAACAAATTAAACTATTTTAAAGTATTTATAGGATGTTTAATAACATTAAATTATTATTTTTAATTAGCGTGGGAAATTTCTCCTACCGTACGATCGGACGATAGGACTACCTCATACTTTTGTCGAGAGAAGTAGTGGCTTATGTAAATTCGAAAGCAGCTCGAAAAATTAATTTTTTGAAAATATTCAAACGTATTACGCTATTGATAGTAGAAGATGCCGGGGAAGAACAAACCTACCTTAAGATAAGCTATTATGAAGACAAATATATGTAAAATCTATATTACTTACTAAAAATTTAATAATTAAATAATTTCTGGATTAAAATCGTCTGTTTCTTTACAATGTTATTCGTATCTGCTTAAATAATCGTTATTTTAATAAAATAGCTCATAATTTTAAACCCCCGAACACAAAAAAATGAAGTTTAAGCCGATCGTCTACTCGCCATTCTAGACGTAGCGACCGCCATTATCGACCGTCCAGAATTGCCAGATTGCAGCGCTTGACGGTCCGCCATTTTTGGGCTTAATACGACGGCCGCAACCTCTCTAATCACTTCAAGACTTGTTATCCGATCACCTATCGATGGTATCTTTCTGCCTAAGAAATATTTCAGGATAATTCACGACAGGATGTTTTGTAGTCGTCGAAAAATTAATATCATTCTATTTTTCTTTTATGTAAGGCGTTATACTCCTGTTACTCGTAGTTAGTTTTATACTAGTAAACTTTCGATTAATCAACTGACCAATTTGCTTAAAGAGATATAATTACATTTGTAAATAAATTTCTTCCAACTTTTGAAAGCGAAAAGAATCGTATAGTTAGTCAAAAAACCTTTCTCTCAAAAATACAAGATGAAAATGCTTTCTATTGATGAGAGATTTATTGAGAAAGTTTAAACAGGTTAAAGCATCGACGCAACACTTCGAAACAATACTTTAGAAAATACAGCTTAATAAACAGATTAGAAGTATTAATAATATTAAAATTAAAGAAAGAAATTTCATACTAATCTTTTTACCTCTTTTAAAGCGGTCAAAATTTTGTTCGTAAAGCGAATTGTTCGAAAAGCGAAAAATAAATATACTCCATAAATATTAGAATATGAGAAATAAATATCTATTATTACCTCATATACGAATTTATCACTTTTTTTCGTTACACAATACGATAATAGAAATTAAATATAATCGGGAAAATGGTGTATATAAACTTTCATATTGTTAGCGTGACAAATTAACAAATTTTAATTCATATCTAAAATGTTTAATTATAGAATTTGTTTTTATAGAATCTGAACTACAAAGTGACAACATACTAAGAATTAATCTTAACGCTCGAAAAGTTTTTCGTGTCCATTGCTATCTTAAAATAATTGATTTTAAATTAAAATTAAAATATAAAATAAAATTCATAAATGCCAATATATTAATATAATGTATTTGCTTCAGTTAAAGGTTATCTACAACTTGATACATCTTCCAGAGGGATCAACTGTTTCTCCTTCTGTACATTTACATTCATAACCTTTTTGCAAACTTGCAACTTTTACACATTTAACGGATAGCAGTGTACTTTCTTTATAACCGAGTTCTCCATGCTCGCAAACATTCAAATCTGTAATGTAGATTACATTTATTCACTTATAGAAACATTCTTGTTTTAAAGTTAATTTACCTGTGCAAGTTTCATTCGAATTTTTTCTTTGCTTTGGGCGACAATGACACGAAAACGAATTACTTTTCGTTGGAACAATACAAATTGCATTTTCCTTTAAGCACTTTTCGTATCCTACGTTTCCTTTCTGACACGGATCTTAATACATAAATAATATTATTGTTCATATATACAAAACATGTCTATATATAATCAAACAATATTGAATTAATAGAGTTTAGTACATACCATTATCGCTAATTATATTAATTTCGTTATTCTTCTTATTCGTTATACCTAAAAATATTAAAATTCCTAATTTAAATAAATTTGTAAAATTGATATTTGTATGCTAACGATAAGTTTACCATGATACTTCTTCAGACATCGACCACTTCGATCCGTAGCGTAATTCTCCGGACAGACACAAAAGTATCTCTTATACCTTCTGACATCCCGCACGCAAACTGCATTATTGATATTACATTCTAAGAAACCGACTTCCCCTTCGTCACATTCGGTAATTTCTAATAAATTACAAATTATTATTTTTAAGAGATTCTGTTAAGATATTCAAACGCCTTGTCCATCCGGTTGTCAAACCGATAGAACCAAGACAACTGCAACATTAGTGTATATAAGGTCTACAGATACAACGCACATACCATTACATTTTCCTATTTTGGACTTCTTATATCCTGGTCTACATTCACATTGATAACCAATTTCGTTATCAAAATTATGTAAACACACTGCATCTCTCCTGTTGCAATCGCTAAAGCCTTGGTGTCCTTTGTAGCACATCTTGGTATCTGAATTAAAATTTTAATCTTAAACTGTTCCTGATTGAAAACAGAATTTTTATAATTTTCTTACCTATACATCTTCCGTGATTATTTGGAGCATAATCGGGTGAACATTTGCATACGAACCCATTTGATATAGAACTATTCAGTTTGCAGTTTGTTATTAACATTTTTTCATTCTTTGATACTTGAAAAAGCTGTGACACCTCGACTTTTACAGCAACTGTAATGACATTCTCATTCTCGTCGTTTGTTTTTATTGCTAACATTTCAAAATTCACAATATATTCCAAAATTTCATATAAATCGAAAACACCACATTAATTTTAATGCAATTTTTCAACAAAAATTGCGACAATTTTCAATAATGTCGTCGATGTAACAATTTCCAATTGTTGCAATTGTTGAAGAAAAATGAAAAGAAGTTTCGAAAGTATTCGTTTGCGATTTTCCAGTGAAAAAATGAAGAAAGAGAGGTAAATTTAATCAAAAGTAATGTATAACAACGCCATTTCTTTGATATTCATTTAAAATTTCATCAATTTATTTATAATAGAAGTGATGGCGCTGAACCCAACGGTCAGCAAAATCGGAATTATTGGATTAATAATGTAAGATATTCAATTTCATTAATGACTTAAAAATTAATTTTTCGATTAAATATAAATTAACAGGTCTTTACTCGATTTTCAAATATGCATTAAGAGTGACAAATATTATTATCTTAACTTTCCGTAGGATTTCTGTGATTTGTCTGTCAATGAGTGTTTCTCCGTGTACAAAAGAGATTCGCAATTGCAGGGGAACAAACCCAAGAAAATTGGACGATTTAAACAGTTTTTCAAAAGTATATTTTGTAAACTGTTTCTCTGTTGTTGCGTTAAAGAAGAAACTTCCGATTCACGGGTAACACTCGCGTTTCTTTGCTTTTCTCTGTTTTTCAATTAACAAACTTTGAAACTAAAATATTTTATAATTGTAGAACTGCGAATCGGAGGATTTTCAATCTGGACTTGAACGTCTAAACAATACAAAAGAGTAGTACAAATTTCAAAAAATTGGTGAAGGATCTTTTGGCACAGTGTATGTGGGTCGGTCTAAAAGTTCCGACAAAGCAATCGCTGTCAAAGCAATCAAGAAACAACGCTGTTTCCTAAATCAGGTATGCATTGAGCCTTGGTTTCGATATTCTTTCTATGTAAAAACGATACAATATCTGTAACGAGAATGTACTACTTTATCCAAGAATGCACTACTTTCAAAGTAGTACATTCTTGGTAGAATCCAAGAATGTACTACTTTATTTTATTTTTGAAGTGTGTACACCTGACTGAAGAAACACAGTTTATTTATATAATAATGTAGTCAATTCTTTTCAAAAATCTTCTAAAAACAACTAATACATAATACAGTCGACCCTCCTATAATTACGGTCCCAATAATTACGATTCCTATAAAACTGCGAAAAAATTGTAACGGTATCCGTAAAAAACAGTAAAACACCCCCTATAATTACGTTAAACGTCATCGGGCAGCCGAACTACTTTCCCGCCGTCCATAGCGCCACCCTACGGAGAGATTTCTATCGTCTGGACGGTATTATATAAATTATATATGAATTAGGTACTGTACATATAATTATATATTAATTATATATAAATTAGGTACTGTATATATAATTATATATTAACTTATTGTAACTTTGTTATAATTAAATATATAATTTCCGCCGTCTAGCGTGGCGCCACGCTACGGAGATTTTTACGCTAACTATCGTCTGTCAGTATGTAAATTAGGTACCGTAAGTCTAATACAGTACTGTAATTTTATACATTTCTTGTGAAAGAAACATTTCTTATTCAACGGCGATTAAAATTATTTATATTAATGATGTCTCCGAAGTTCAACGAAGTTTTCACAGAAAAATAAGTTGTTAGAAATCGGCCGCTCTTTGCTGAGCTGTTCCGCGACGAAAACAATGTTGAGCAATGGCAATGTCGAATGGTGACACTCGGTAAGTAATCCTACAATTTTTTGTTTATAGCGTAGTTTATACGGATTATTCCCAAAAAATATATACGTATTTTGGAAATGTTGAGTCGGATTAGTCTAGAATCGATTAATTTTATGGAAGAAAACCTTTCAATCAGCCGTAGTCCGTAAACTTTACACGTATCGGGCTGTGATTGGAACGACTCGTAAGAAATCGGATTCCTAAAAAATGGAACGTATCTATGATCTTATAGGGGGTCGACTGTATATTAATTTCATATTACGTATATATTAATTATACTTTTTTATTTACAGGAATTCGATATTCTCAAAGAAGGAACTGCTTGGCGCCGCGTATCCAGTCATCCTCACATTGTCACTTTTATTGGTATTTTCGAAACTGATATTAGGTAAGCTTTATTTTTTTGATATTACTGATTTGTAATATCTTACGTGTGTCGGGTAATAAACTATTCGTGTTTTTCAGTCACTGTTTCGTCTGTGATTACGTGAATGGAGAGAATTTGACCGACTTCTTGGAAATAAACGGAATATTATCGGAATTCCAAGCTAAGACGATCGGTGCACAACTTGCTTCGGCCATCATTTACATTCACGATAAAGGTATTTTATCTAAATATATTTATACATATAAATTTTCTTACGCATGCACGGTGTGACAAATTATTTTACTCTCTCCGATAGAAATTATTCACAGAGATATAAGCTCAAACAACATCTTAATAGATAAAAAAAAATGGAGCACATTTGATTGACTTTGGTCTATGTACAGTAAGTACTGTACGCCTCTTACTTTTCTTCAATTGTACTTTTCTTATAATTTCATTTTTTCAGTTCGAACGCCGTCCAACAGACTTCTGCGGCACTCTGTTCTATTTATGCCCAGAAATTCTTCAACAGACAGAATACGGTAAGAAATGTTACTTACATTTAATGGATTTTTTATTTCTTTTTTTTATTGGTGAAATCAATGTATGGCTTACAGACGCTTACTGCGATTGGTGGGCGTTTGGAGTTGTATTATACCAGATTCTGGTTGGAAAAACTCCAATAGAAGTTTATCTAGAAACACTTATGACCTTTGACGATTTCCAGACATTGCTGATAACGGAACAAATCAAAAGTAAGTATCAATTCAGAATTCGTTAAGAGAAAATGGAAACGGTGATTAATATAAAAATGTCATTGCAGTTGTTGAAAAAGTGGAGTTAACGTATCCTTTTGAACTATCGGAGGATGCCAAACAAATAATCCAGGATTTGTTACAGAAAGTAAGTTTATAATGCATTTTATGTAACTAATTTTCTGATTTTTGTACTATACATTTCACGAGAAAAAAATTTTTTTGAATATTTCTTATATGTCGTGTTGTTTTATTTTGATATATTACACGTTTTATATTACCTTACGTCACATATATATTACCTCTTTTAAAATTAATATGAACTTTTTAAAGCATTTTTAAATTTCTTTCTGAATCATTTCACTATTAGTTAATTACGTTAATCGCGCAATGAATTCCGGTTTTTAGTAACTGAGTTAATTACATTTTAATTATTGATAAGAAATTTAAAAAGTCATCGACGTAACTCGCCTCACTTGTTTGTTTCATTGCAATTTCCCTGATATCACTATACAAAGACGAAAGTATGATAATTGAATCGAGAAATTGGAAAAATTCTAATTAACTATCATTATTGTTGACCATTTCAGAATCCTGAAGAACGTCTTAGAGAAAGAAAAATCAAAAAACATAAATTTTTCGATGATGTGCAGTGGCCAATAATGCCGAAGACTTGAGTCATTATTTAAGACATGCACAGAATTGTTCGAAAGGATTATTTCTGTCCTTTCATTTTTTATTATTATTACTATTTTAAGTATAAAATTTACATTGTACATACACAATGGTTTTGTTTTAATTTCAAATTTTATTCGTTATAAATGAAGCGTAATTAATTACTAATGGTTTCCGCACGTTTTGATTATGTTACGTGTCTGACCATCGTATCATCCGCATATTAAATGCATTTTTATAAATTATATGTAATTAGGAATCGCTGAATGACTTATGAATGAAAGAAGGGTTTTCGAAAAATCTTATAAAAATATACGAGTAAAACGAGCAATTATTTATTGTGATATGGTCACAATGCCGGGCTGCGATTTTTAATCATAATTTTAATTTATTTGATTTAAAATACATACTTGTCACCTCAAGCGGTAGTATTATGCCTTTATATATCATACTTTTCCTTCAAAAAAGAGTCGTACCGGCTATGTAACTCCGTTTTGAAAATTATAGAGAGACAAACAGACAATCGGACAAACGTCCGACGGTGGGAATTTATAGGTCTAGAATTTTTTAAATTGCAGGCCAATTAGCTTCATGAATTGATGCTTAGTATTTAAAATTAAGTCTGTTTTAATCAAGAGTTCAGTTTAAAAATTTCTTAAAGTTTCAAATGCATAAAATAAATTCGGCATTAGTAGTGTTAAAATTGCAGTGTAAAAATGCAATAAACGTTTAATTACCAAAGTGCAGTTTGTACATAAACAGAACTTAGTAACATCACAATATACTCTTCGATACGTCTTGTGAAGACTTTTTTGTTTTAAAAGATATGAAAAATAAACGGAAAATAAGACAAGGAATTAATTTTAAGAAACAATAAAAAAATTAAATAATAAGATACATTGATACGTAAAATTGTAGAAAAAATCACGTACAATTTTGATAACTTAACTCTTTTGAATTGACGATGACAATTCCCAGGACGTTAACAAGAACTTTTTATGACTGCCTTTTAATTGCACCTTTTTATATCAATACTTTCGCAGCAGACTATGCCAAATGGCATGCATTTGCATACTTTAAATTAATCGGCTTTAACTGTTGTAATATTTTAGTATGTTTTTAAAACAGCTTTTTTTATGTAGAGTTTTCTGAACATGTTGTAACATTCTCTTTGCTTATATTACAACCAGGGCTGTGGAGTCGGAGTCGGAGTCGTGGAGTTTTGGTATTTTAGCCGGAGTCGGAGTCGGAGTCGTCAAAAAATCCGCCGACTCCGACTCCTTTTTACTTCCCAACTTCTTATGTATATAAAACGGAAAAGTATTGGAATCGTGTCAAATTTGACCCTCCAAGTTTTTTTTGCAAAGCTACGCATTTGGGGACCTCCCAAACCCCCTCAAAAAAGTCAGTAAAGGGGAAAAATTCGCATGCGTGTGTGTCTTGGCATCTAATTTGTTTAATTTCATTATTCTCTGTTTTGAGATATTAAACAATATTTCAGAAAGGGTAAAGTTCAAGAAACGAAATTTGGCACAGTAGTTTCTGTTTAAAGAGGC